TTCCTTGTGTATTTTTGGAAGGCCGTAAGCTGAAAGTTCTCTAGCATCTCTATGAAGAAGTAGATTCATTTTCCACTTCTCAATTTCTCCTTTGCTTACACGAACGTTAAGCGATTCCCTAAGTCTGGCCTTAATACGCTCTGTGGTATCCTTCACTAAGAGTCTGTAAGTTTCTGAATCATTTAAATAAACCATTATTTTTTCTATATAACTTAACCTATACATGATGATCATTGCACCACCTTTATCTGCGTTTAAAGCAGACACATCATTTTGATGCAAATATCTAGAAACCCTATTCAAGTCATAAGATTTCTTTCGAATGATTGCCTCATCAAAATGAGGAATCACTTCTCTTTCTATACCATTCTTAGCCTCTTATAGCAGCCTGTCCGTTAAGTTAATTATCTTAGCCAGTATCTCCATAGGATGATTTTGCCCATTTGGAAAAGCAAAGTTTAGACCCCTTTGCAAGAAGAGAATTGGCATCTATAGGTATACTGGATAAATTAATGACTTTACTATTGCAGGAACAAATAGCGCTAAGTTTAACTACTTCCTAATTGTTTCGATGATTCCTTGAGCTGATGTTAATGCGTAAATTCCTTAATTTCTAATCCTGTCAGGATCTATGGATCTTATTAATCCTTTCCGCCAGACCGTCCGTCATATTCTACTATTTGAGAAAGTCTTCTTGAGTGATTATTAATGCCTTACTCAAACTTAGCATCTTGGTCTGATCATATAAACTCCATTTTCGCTCTATGGTTTGAGCCTATCTTCTATTCATAAATTAGTATATTTCGCTAAATGTTTGCCTTGTTTGATCCCTACTTTTATAAAACCTATTATTTTGATCGGTTTCTATTTATTGACATTTGGCCGATTTCACTCGGTTTCCGTCCCAGTGTGCGTTTTACTCCAGGTGCTATTTCTCAAAGCCCTAGAAGCACATACACTGTCGCTTACCGAGCAGAGCGCCAAGGCTCTGATTCCCATGCTTGTAGATCTCAGGCATTGCCCTCACGGGGCGTCTTCTTGATTAAACCCGTGTAACCTGAGCAAACTGTGGACGCCTATCTCTGGTCGCATGAGGCATTTTAA